ATATGATTTTTTCCTCTAGAGTAACTTTTGAAAAGGGCGTATAAAAAATGGATTATTTTTTTTCAAAAAATCATAACTTGAAAACTATTGATCTGATCAAAATGGCATATGAGAAAAAGTTTTAGGTAGTTAAATTATCTTTGCGGAACAAATACACTGAAAACTTAGTAAATTAGTATTTAAAAAACGTAAAACGATGATTATCTCAAAACACCCCCCCTTCGATCTTTATAATTTTTTTTTTCAAGAAAACTGAAAAAAATGCCCTTATATTTGGTGAAGAGTGTATGCTGGTAACTTTGTTAAAAAAATCTATAATTTTTGAAATTTCTGTTGGTTTTTACAAGTTGGTAAAATTGCATATTTTTTAGTAAAATAATAATTTATTTGGATTCTACGCATAATTTTCAAAAACTTTGCATATAAAAACTTTTTTCCTAAGTCCAGCCGTTCTCAAGTTAATGCAATTTAAAAAAAATAATTATAATAATTTTCTACATTTTGGGCCATTTTCAAATGTTAGTCGTGATGTCCAGCAACGAGATGTTTTTCCATGAATATATATTAAAAAACAAACAATTCATTCTCAAATATGGTAGCTGTCAGACTTACCCGTTTCTATTTAGACGCAGCGGAAAAGAAACAAGTTTATAAGTAAATACTCTCAAATATACCCAAATAATCAACAAACCCACTCATGTGCCTTTTTTCTGTCCTCTGCTAGTTGTATACCTGGATAGAATTGTGTATGTCATAACAGAGGCTCAAAACATACACAGGAAAACAAATATGTTATTAAACCTGTAATTGAGATAAATTCTCTAGGTACTTCTCTGACGTATACCATATTGTGCCTTAAGAGCTCATCCCGCGATATCACAACTACATAAAAAGGCACCCCGTGGAGGCTTCTTACACTCACACTTAAAAAAGTTTGCTATAATCAATTGTACCTAATGAAGATAGGTATAATGTCAACATTGTAATTATTCTGCTACATATATATATATATATATATATATATGGGACGTTCTTCACCTGTTCCATTCAGTTCATCTCTCTTAGCGTTTCAAGTTAAAAAGCAAGTAGTTTTTTACTTTGACTATATGTTTTTAGTATTATTTAGTATATATATATATATATATATGGGACGTTCTTCACCTGTTCCATTCAGTTCATCTCTCTTAGCGTTTCAAGTTAAAAAGCAAGTAGTTTTTTAATTTGACTTTATGTTTTTAGTATTACTTCTACGTGAAGTCAACAATTTACATAGTTGAAGATGCTAATTTCAAATAACAGACTGTAGTGGTAATTTTTATACGATAGATGGAGTAGATGAAAGCATAGAGTTGATAGTTCCGTTAGAGTACGGCAGTGTGAAGATTGTATATAGATATTAGACAAGCGAGCTAGGACAACTTTTAAGGAAGGCACAAATCGGTTTTTTCATCTCTCTTTACCAAACTCCCCCTTTGGAGAGGGATGGTGAGGGTGGTGTAAATCGTTGACTTCACGTAGAAGTAATACTAAAAACATATAGTCAAAGTACATAACTCTGGATGGGAGCATACCATCAATTACTGTCAATGGTCGAAAGGTACAGTAGCAGCACCTACCCCACCCGTGTCCCCTCGAGATCGTCAAGTCGACGATGACAGGAGCACATATCGTGGTAGGGGTAAACAATAGTTGCAATTTCCAAACCTACGACTGGATGCCTTCCTTCAAATAACAACTGAAGTGCGGTAAAAAATCGGTAGAACTGTTTCAAACACACAGTTGGTACATGAGCGGGTCGGTCTTCATCTCTTTTTGCCAGTGGTGGCGGGGGGGGGGGACACCCCCCACCATCCCTCTCCAAAGGGGGAGTTTGGTAAAGAGAGATGAAAAAACCGATTTGTGCCTTCCTTAAAAGTTGTCCTAGCTCGCTTGTCTAATATCTATATACAATCTTCACACTGCCGTACTCTAACGGAACTATCAACTCTAGGTTTTTACGATGGATAACAATTTCAAGTGTTGTAAACCTCTACCTAAATCAAAAAAGTGTTGTTCAGATACAAGAAACTTGTCAGATGGAGTAATAGAAAAATTAAAATGTTTTTTTTTTGTAAAATACCTCTGGATAGTTCTTTGAAAATTTGTAGTAGATGTCGTCTTCAAGTTTACCGTTTGCCATCAAACAAAACGCCTTCGAATGACGGAATGCAGCAAGATCTGGAACAACCTTCTACCAGTGGTGTACGCTCAACAGCACCCATAGATATCGAGAGTGAATCCATTGTGAATATCATCCCATCGGTTACGTCTCTGGCTTCATGGACTTCAGCAGATTCTGTTGTTAATAGAATCAGTTTGTCCCATAATATTGAGACATTCAACCAAGGCATCATGGGTATCCATGTATCACCGATTACGACAAAGAGGCTGAGAAGCGCGTGTTATCCTCAACAGAAAACCAAAGAAATCATGGATGGGGTTAAGCGACACATATTTGATCTTTCGGAAGATGATGACCAAGGAATCCTCAACGCCAAGGCTAAGGATTACGATGAAATGATGAGCCAACTAAAGGAAAAATACGCATATCCGGAATGCACTCGAGAAGAAAAGACACAAGTATTATCCGTATTACCGAAATCTTGGCCTGTACAAAGAATCATGGATGAATTCGGTGTCAACAGATATACTGCAGCACAGGTAAGATTTATATTTTTTTTAAACACTATAAAGGAAAAATTAAAAATAATTTTCATTTTCTTTCTTCCCAGGTAAAAGATTTGGTCGCCGAAGATGGAATATTAAGTTCCCCTCGTTCCAAAGCAGGACATGGACTGAGAGCAGAGCTAGTAGATACAGTTGTGAAATTCTACGAAGATGACGATATAAGTAGAGTTATGCCGGGCCAAAGAGATTATGTCTCTGTAGTGACGGGTGGTGTACGCCAGGTAATACAAAAACGTCAAATTTTACGGAAACCCATAAAGATATCAATATTAGCTTTAGCTCATTTGCAGTCTTACGGCCAAAAAATTGTAAACTTCTTAGTAAATCAGGATCTCATAATGTTTGTGTATGTACGATTCACGAAAATGTTAATCTAATGTTGAACAGCCTGAAAAAAGATCGCATATTGTGTGATCGCACTATCTATATGGAACAACTTCTTTGCGATTTACAATCTAGAACAGACTTTTGCCATCTTCGAACGTGCATGAATTGTCACGATACGTCATTATCCGAAACAAAATTATTAGAAATACTGGAAGAGAAACAAATATTAGAAGTGTCATTTGAACAGTGGACTACGACAGATAGGTGTAATATTGAGTTGAAAACTTTGCCTTCCGAAGATTTTTCATTTTTCTTTACGGAAAAGTTAGACAAATTAATATATCACGATTTTATAAAAAAAAATAAGCAGGCAGAATTCTTAAAAACAAAAAAACTAACACTAGAAGTCGTTGTTATTTGCGACTTTTCTAAAAACTACACATTTGTTCTGCAAGATGAGGTTCAAAGCTATCATTGGAATAATTCTCAATGTACAATTCATCCATTTGTCGTTTATTTTAATGATAATGGTACACTAAACCATTTAAGTTTTGTGGTTATTTCCGACACTTTTTAAAGCATGACACAGTAGCAGTTCAGTTGTTTATCTCAAAATTATTAGAATTTTTAAAGTCGCAAATAACAGTCCAAAAGTGTATTTTTATGTTAGATGGAGCAGCATCACAATACAAAAACATAAAAAAATTGCTAGCCTTTGTTGATTTAAAGATAAGCATAATGTAGAAATTGAATGGCATTTTTTGCAACTTCACACGGCAAAGGTCGGCGGTACCCTTAAGAGAATGGCAACCAGAGCAAGTTTAACTAAGCAACACGAGCACCCTATAACGAACCCTAAACAACTGTACGACTGGGCAAATAGTCGTAAAGAAGATCTTCAAACAAAAATGTCATTTGTTGAAGAATACAAAAAGGCTGACACGGAATTTGATCCAATTTTTAAGAAAGTGAAACCAATTCCTGGAACTCGAAAATATCATTGCTATATTCCAGTTTCAAACAACCAAATTGTAGTAAAAATATTCTCTAATTCAAACGATACACCCAAATTATTCAATGTATTCAAATAATATGAGTTGTAAAATAAAATAATAAATATATACTGTTTCTTATCTCAACAAATCTTTCATTTGACCACATCATCGTGCTTCTCTTCCGCTGCCTCTAGATAGAAACGGGTAAGTCTGACAGCTACCATATCTGAGAATGAATTGTTTGTTTTTTAATATACAATCATGAAAAAAAATCTCGTTGCTGGACATCTCAACGAACATTTGAAAATGGCTTAAAATGTTGAAAATTGTTATAATTATATTTCTTTAATTCGCATTAACTTGAGAACGGCTGGACTTAGGAAAAAAGTTTATATAAGCAAAGTTACCGAAAATTATGCGTAGAATCCAAATAAATTATTTTTTTACTAAAAATATGCATTTTCATCAACTTGTAAAAATCAACAAAAATTAAAAAAATATAGATATCTTTTTAAGAAAGTTACCAGCATACACTTTTCACGAAATTAAAAAAAAAGATCGAAGGGGGGGTGTTTTGAGATAATCATCGTTTTACGTTTTTTAAATACTAATTTACGAAGTTTTGTCTTTCAGTGTATTTTTTCCGCAAAGATAATTTAATAACCTAAAACTTTTTCTCATATGCCATTTTCATCAGATCAATTGTTTTCAAGTTATGATTTTTTGAAAAAAAAATTAATCCATTTTTTATACGCCCTTTTCAAAAGTTACTCTGGAGGAAAAAATCATATTTAAATGAAAAATGTAACCATTAGTAGCAGCGAACACGTGAGCAATGTTTCATTCAAATCAGAAGAGGTCGAGACAAAATTGACATTTTTTTTAACGATTTGAGCTGGAAATGCTCAATAGCGTCTCATTCTAATATTTTATTTTGTGAACTCTCCACAGAGGAACCCTGGAAGGAGAACGACAAGCGCAGCCATATGAAAAATTATTGCAACAGCCAATTCTCAAGTTTTCCGGACTTAATTCGGAAAAGTGCCCTCCACTTAAAGTAAGTGTTCAAATATACGACGATGGTAGAAGGGTTGGTCTTCCGGTTACCTCTTCCTATAAGAGCTTCTTGACTAGATGGAGGTACGTAATTTCTGCGGTTATTTTCCTTAGCATAAAACCCAGCACCTACAAATCTGTTCATTCCAGCTGGAACGAATGGCTGACATTGCCAGTGCTATTCAGTGACCTGTCTCGTCGTTCGGTACTGGCAATAACAATATATGACTGTGTATGGAGTTATAATGATGCAACAATTGTTGGTGGTACATCTATATCTTTGTTTGGAAAAACAGGAGTATTCCGTCAGGTATTGCCAATTCAGAAATAAATTATATCCCACTGCATCTGCAACTGGTTTAATCCTATCCTTCCCATGATACTACAGGTGATCCACAACTTTTCGGTCCGTCTTATGTTTGTCAATCGATTTAAGCTTCTCGGTGTGCTAATTAATCTTGTCTATATTTATTCTTTAGAATTCAACTGAGCCACTATCGAAAAACAATTAAAATAGTATTGATAACTTTTTTTTAATGGATTCGACCTTTTTGGATATCTTTTTTTGCATCTCAAAACAACAACAAAAAACCTTTTGGGAAGGAAGGGTTACGACTTAAATGGAGGTGAAGAAATTTGGCCCTTAGTGGTTAACAATTTCGCTGTTAACCATTCGGCGGTGTGCCCTTGGTGGTTTGGACTGTAGATACTATAGATTCCATAGATAAACGAAGACAAAGTAGAATGTAGCCAAACGAACTGTCAGTTAGTGTAGCCAAACGAGCATGACGTCATCATGGTGTTTTTTGCGGGAGAAGTATTGTAATATTATGAGCACAAAATGCATTCCCCTGTCCAAGGATGAGGGACTTGATGATGATTTGTCAAGTGCCGCTATGATTTTTTTTTACAATTTGTTAAATTTGTAGTTTTTCTCCAGTTCATTGATTTGAAAGGTTCATGCGAGTTAATTTCACGGAGCCGTAAATTGTAGTTTTATCATAATTTTAATATTAGCATAAAATAAAATAGTAATTTTAAATTCGCTTTTGTAATGCTAAGGTAAATAGTTTACTTTGAGTGTAAAGTTAATTTATATGAAAGTTCTAACAGTTTTTTTTTGCACTTCGAAACTTGACGGGTCATACCTCAACATAGTAGCAGTGACAGTGTCGCATGTCCTAACAACAACTGCCTGCGAGGGGCCGACAGAGCTGAATACGGGTCAATACTAACAAAACTCTAACATGACCCCGAAACTAACGTTCATCCATTGCACTAATAGTTATAATGTAGTTGTACTTTCCTAATAACCCATCTATCACAGACAAACAGACATAACGCTCGGTTGGACAGGTTGTTCATCGGATACGCATTTGACGGTCAATTTGAGTGTTTTTGGTTGGTGGTGCCGCCACCTGTGACGCGCACGGTCGGTTCCCTTGCGTCTGACGCCATCTGTTCAGCGTACTATCCATCACATGATACTCAACAGATGGCGGTAGTGTTTTAGTTACTAAGTTTTGTGGAGAGAAATATTAAATGTGTTATTTCTGTTTGTCTGTGCATCTATGTTTCTTTTTCGTTGTGTGTGTGTGTGGGGGGGGGGGGGTTAATGTAACCAATACTAATACCTTTCTCTCTGTTCTTTTATTCGTTTTCTATATCCCTTCACCATCACCCCATATCCCATCATTTTGACGAGAGATGACTTACTTGCATGGTGCATGCCCAAGTCGTACTACAGGATAATATGCTGAGCGTGGTTCTATCACAAATCGATAGAGCTGAGGAATAATGAGGTAAATACTACACAGTATTTTAAAGGAGCCAACTCTAAGCAGGTAATAATAGCAATTAATAATCAAACAACCATTAAAAGGTAAGAATGAATTTATTTATTTTAAATACAGTAATGACCCGATTTTGTCAGCCCCTCCGCGCTTCAGACTTTTTTCTTTCAATAAGTTCACATAATTATAAATCTAAATTTTTCTCATTCGTCATTCGTTAAGAGGGATATTTAAAGTATACTTTGGTGCAATAGGTTCAAGAAGATTACTGAAAAAGGGCATGTGTTTTGTAGAACATTGGAAAACATTTTCAAAAAAGGGGGCTGACAAAATCGGGACATTACTGTATTCCATTTACATTTACATGATTTATCATATATTTCCGGAGAGCTTCGAGGTTGGAGCGTAGTTGCTTTTGTAGATGGGCACGTCATTTGTCGGTTTCTCGCGAATTGGGGCTCAGTCTGGAAAAACTAATAACACAAACAGGTAGAGGAATAGTTCCTCTATGATTTGGTATAGTTTGTTTGCAGGAATGTTCTTTTGTTCGCGGGAGACCGACGATTGACGTGTTTGTTTGCAGGGGCGATTGCGCCCAGATCTCGGGGTTCTCCGGATTTATGGTCGTAATCTAATACACACAGTTGATCACAATACGAGCCTAAAAGCTGCAGTGACCTAGTGAGCACCATAGCTCGAGTCGTCTGAAAGTTTTGTGTATCGCATGGAGAGCCCAACCGAGATGCTAGCCTATTAAGACTGCAGTTGGTCAACTCTCGAAAAAAAAAATGAGCACAAAATGCATTCCACACTCCACATTCCGATTCATTTCGCGTAAAACGGAAGAAGGGAATAAAACGCAAACCACTCCTCGAATCATTGTTGCAAAGGTTTGCTTTACACTTAATTTTGAACTTTTGCGCAGGAAACAAAACAAAACAAAACTGCACAACGAAGAGCTCTATGGTGGCATGAACATTGTTCACGGATGCTAGTAAGATCATTTATTTTTCATGGTTGCTAAAACAACTTTTTGTACCTCCGCTTATCTATGGAATCTATAATATCTATAGTTTGGTCTACTGCGTGGTTTGCCGTTGTGCTGATTGTAGTATGCTGTTTAATATGTTCCAGATGATACGATTCCGCAGCCTTCCTTATTTTTTAAACTAATCAATTCAGGCATAACATTTGATAACGGCACAAAAGCCCCTCCCCTTGGTTAGTTTTTGCACCTTGCTGTTGGTAGGCGGGCTTAATTTTATGCTTTTTAGTGGAGTGTTGGAGACGGTAGGTTTATGGCCGGCGTTGCTTGCTCATGCCGCGAAGAATGGCGTCATGGGCAGGCAATGGGTATTACTAAGTTTCCCCTCTCTGATAAACCACTGCATGAGAGAACCAAAGATCTAGTCTAGCAGTGATAGTATCACACTTGTTACTCCTTTGATCGAGAGCCGCGTCGTAGTACGCTTACGTAAAGGCACTGACGTTGGGTGTGATACTGGCGGGTTTTGCCGCAAATCACTCTTATTTTATTTATTTTTACACAGATAGATTTATTTGGGTTACAATGTTAAACACCAGTTTTGTACATGGTATTGTAACTAATCTTATATGTGCTTCATTTTTATTTGGGATAAGTGTTTGAACTATGACTCGGGATTTCCACTGCGGTGTGCTTCTATTGTGACATACTCATATGTATTTTTGTGGTGCGACATAGTGGAAACGTGAGAGCGTAATTGGAACATTTACCCTATACAATATACAATTTAAAATTAGCTTGGAAACTAACGTCAAAGTGAAGCATTTTAGTCACTTGAAGGTGTCACCTGGGACGAACAAAGATATAATTAATATATGTCAAAGCCAGAAGTATTTGAAACACGTTAAATTTTAGTTTAAAAGCATGGGTTATGATTGTGTAGGAAGATTAGAGATTTCAGTTATTAACTAAATAATCATCAAATGAACTTCAATTAGAGTAGAGAATTCAGAAAGTTAATTAACATAAGAGATAGGATGCGGGGGGCCCGCTTAGGGAGGCAACTAGCTTTTAGAGTTGTATAATAAATCTTTCTATTTAGTATATTTGTTAATTACAGGCATTGTCAATAGCAATCATATCTTCAATCAGGCGCTTACGAATAAGTGAAGTTTTAGGAAAGGTGTTAAATATGTTGGTAGATTTGAAATAAGAATTAGGCGTTGTGCTTTAGTTTTCGGTAAGGTATGATGTGTCAACTAAACTCTTTTGAGCAAATTTTCAAAAATCAAATGTATTGAGTGAAACAGCAAAAAAGAGGTTATCTTCCATTTAATTCCACTTAATTAATTTTGGTATCCTTGACAGATACGTATTTCTACTACAATGTGCAGTCTTCATCAGTGTCATTCCCACTAAAGAACTTATCAAAATCTAACCCCCTTAAGTGCTCATCCCCTAGGTAAAAAAGTCAAGATCATAGGTATAAAAATGAAACTACAATGTGTTGAATCGAGACCTACCTAACTAATAAAAACCAAAGATTTAAGTAAGCTAAAGGTGAAAAATTTATACAACTCTCTAATAAGGAAAATCCCCAAAGGCTTGGTAGCCATCATAATGAAGTAATGAAAATGAGTTGTTAACAGAATTCTAAATAAAACTGCAAAAAAGAGGTTATCTTCCATTTAATTGCACTTAATTAATGTTGGTATCCATGACAGATACGTATTTCAACTACAATGTGCATCAAGAAAAAGGTTCGACAAATTTAAAAGAAGAAATCTCGATAACTTTTTCAGAGGGACGGACGTGTCGGCTTTTGGGGGCGGTGCGTTTGATCGTCGATTTGGCGTGGCTGGTGGCTCGACCACGCATACTAGCACTATCATCGGATAGATACATTTTCCTTTACCTGTGGTGGTGTTGGTGGGCGTGTGCGAGCTACCAGTTCCGCCGGATCGACGATCGGATGCATTGTTTGCAGGAGCTGATGCGTCTCTTTGAAAGAGTAATCAAGAAATAACCATATTATCCTATAATTGATATTACTATTTATATATATATATATCAATGAAATTAGTCATGGTAGAGTAACAGAACGAGTTTAAAAACAAATGGGGAAGGACAATAGACACAAGTTGACACAATACACGAGACAAGTTAATACACAAGACAAAATGACAAAATAAGTGACGACAGAAGACAAGACTGGGACAAAAATAAACCTTAAAAAAATAACAAGTAGGCGTAATTATATTATTAAAACTATTTGGATCAACATAAAAACCCCTGGGCTTTGGCAAAACCTTGAGGTAGTTTAATTAGGCTACCATGTCCCAGGGCTGATCTGGATCTTTACCACATTGGAAAGATGCACACTAGGGTGCTTCATTCTGAAAAAAGTGATGAATTTCTGATGGGCCACCCTCCAGTTCGATTCATAGCCCCAAAATATGAACCTGTGCAAAAATTGGTAAAGATTGATGAAGGTTTAGAGGTCGCGCCAATGATTTGAAATTTGTATGGGAA